GCATGTTGTCATTGCAAAAAGATGACAACTGTGCCTACATACTAGCTTACTGACTCGTCATGATCACAATTGTGTTGGGACTACATTTATTTTTGAATACTACTTTTTTCTATTCAGCGGAAGTGACGTATTAGGGCATTTGGGCCTAATAGCAACATGGTTGGATGATTTCTGGCTTGAAATTGCGTTTTTCCAATTTACTAGAGTTTTTCAAGTTGTTTTGTGCAGTTTAAGAATATTCTGACAGCAATTATGAAAAATATGGCTACTTTATTACCCCTGGGGTCATTTTTCCAAGAACCCAATGGTTTTCCTTTAAATTTGACTAGTTTTTCATTTACATCATGAAATCTACTGGCTGATGGTGACATTTTACAATGTCGTGTCAAGAAATTGAGTATTTCATTGCATATTGCGATTTTTAGCCAAAATCACTGAACCATGAACCTGAAAATTGGGCAAATTTGGCCAACTTAGGCAAAATTTTACTAAAATTATCATTTTTTGATATTTTATTTCACTCAACAACCTCCTGATTTGAAAAATGATGGCAAATTTGATCAGATTTGACTCTGGCCTAGAGAATTAGGACTTTTGAGATAGTTTTAGCTCGAATTTGGTCATTCAGAGTGGACAAATACATCAAAAATTGACACTTAACTGACCAATCTCTGACTGTACCCCTGATATGTACCTTTATTTTTTACTAGAAACCAAAAGATGGAAAATTCAATCTTTATTATGAACAGCAACTCATTGGCTTCCCCATTTACGACAACATATGACATCTTGGGGTCATTAAGGACGAAATTATGGCCAAATATCGTCAAAATCAGTGGTTTTTGGGGTAAAAAGCGAAAACTGCTGATTCAGCAAAAACTTTAAATTTGTTCATGAAAATTCCCCTTTTTGCCTACGACCAGAATATGTTTCGTACTAATAAACTTCAATTCTGGACGATTCTGAGTAGTTTCAAAAAATTTTGGTCACTCTCACATGTGACTAATAGGCCAAACTGCCCTAATTCACGTCACCATACTAGTCAATGGGCAAAAGGGCAAACGCCTGACTTTTTATCTCGAGTTATGGATTTATGTGGCCTCACTGGCCTATCTGAGGTTCTAAAGCTATGTCTAAGCTACATCTTGACAAAAAACTCAATAGGGGCCAATCATCTACTTTTTGAAATAATTGGTCAATTGTGACACTACCCCCTCTCTCTGCCGACACAAATTGAAATTCACAAAAATCAAGGCAAAATTAATGCGCCACTTGACTCGAAATTTTCCTTCAGATAACCCAAATAAACGCATTTTCAGAAGAAATGGCATGTTGTCATTGCAAAAAGATGACAACTGTGCCTACATACTAGCTTACTGACTCGTCATGATCACAATTGTGTTGGGACTACATTTATTTTTGAATACTACTTTTTTCTATTCAGCGGAAGTGACGTATTAGGGCATTTGGGCCAAATCCCTTGTTATTGTGTGCTGCAGAACAGAAGTGTTTTACGTAGACAGGAAAACAATGCCAAGGATATTCAGTAAACAACAGACAATTTTCACTACATAACATATTGAGCCATGCTTCTCCACTCTACCACTCTTTATTTTCATAACCATACTTTGTCTCTATGAATGAATATGGGAAGAGGGTAAAGAAACTTGAGGTAAAGACATGGACGGTTTCACCAATGATCTAATAATTATGCTTTTGAGATTGAGACTATACGAAAAAACAAAATATGTAAGAAACAACCCCTGTGACTTCATGGCTGTATAATTGCTGAAATTGCATCCAATGAAACTCCAACACTAATGTAAAATTAGGTAAGACACAATTGAATAATCACTGTTTATTTGGTTAAAACCAGAAAAATGAAGAGACTCCAAACTGACAATTCAAGGCCATCTTTATCCAATCACAGTTTTCATAGTATCTGTTAATCAAATCAATAAACCAGTCTCAATGCTACAGCCACCAGAGGCCATTCTTTTCAAGTCCTTTGTTTTGTTTGCACACCGTTGCATCATCATCAATTTTACAAATTGGTTTTGCTTATTAGATTAACATTATTTTTGGGACCATTGAGTCTCCCTGTACAGGGAATATCTATTGGAGATGTCTCATAAAACCAATACGGTTGCCATTTTGATTCGTCAAATTATTTCAACATCATGTAACTCAAAAAGATTACATAACTATACAAATGTGTATGAAAGCAAAGAAAGATATTCAAGATACAAATAAATGATAAGTTCAGACCAATTTTTCTTGTTTGCTATAATAAGGAATATCAATATTCAATTGATTAAAAAATGACAATGGTAAGACATGATACAATGTATATACAAAGCAAGTTCATTCACTTCTCTGTCAATAGTAAAGAAATGACGTACAAAAACTAACATTCTGGATTCATCCACTGTCTATACTTTCTTCTTGCAAGAAAAATGAATTCAATGGCATACATTTTGGTTTATTCTACCCTAAGAGTCAGAGCCTAATACAGTAAATTGGTGAAGAGGGAACTACTGGGAAGATTTTTATTTGTAGTCATAGTGTCAATTTTGCTGGCATTGGCCTTGTATGTTTATATCATGGATATATCATTTTAAAGTGTAATTCTGAAAATGCAAATTTCTGATTCTTGATCCTTACATTCATTGTTCAGTTTTGAACATTTTCAATCTTTCATGATGATATATAGCTAGTTGTTACATAATTCTCTATTTGTTACTTTGTACTTTCAAGTTTCAACTGAAACAAGCTTTCATGGAACAAGATGTTAGGGGTTTGAATGAATCGTTCTTTCAATGTGGTCCCTTATCTTCTGATTGGGAGCCTAAATATAGCAGCTCTCTCTGTTTATATAATGCAAGTTAATAAGAGCCTCTGTATGCCAGAAGCTAAGGTTCTTGCAAAACATGGAACATTCCTCAACATCATATGTTGAGGAAATAAAGTTTACTGCAAAAAAGTAGGTTTTGATTAGTATGATACAACATACCAGATCTGAATATATCAATATCAAGCCTGCTGTCTTTACAGGTAAAGCTTCCTATGAGCTGATTTTGTAAATCTCAACATAACCCTAGTTTGGGAAGCGGGGATGGGGAATACCATAGGTACAACTTAGGTAAAGAAAATAGGTCCACACCTGACTTTAGATAATGAGAAGAGGTGCAAAATTCAATATACACCCACTCTTTATGAAGGGGAATAAGGAGGAAGACAAGTGGCCTATAAGAATCCCTACATTGCGAAGAAGCTCACTCTTTGATATTTTTCTTATTTGATACCTTCCAAATTGCCCCATCTTCTAAAAGAAAGCAGACAGGGTATGCATAACCCTAGCTCTTGTTATAGGAAGGGGATACTGATATGAAGAAACTTAAACTATAATGTGAAAGGCAAATAATGTACCAACAAGGCATTTACAAAATGTCACCACCTGCCATTTGTTACAGAAGCTGATCGCCACCAGCTTAAAGCTGAACATTATACACATAAAAAAGTTGGAAGCTATAACAATATGTCACTACTTGTGGTGGTTACATAATAAACCTTATGTTATGTCAAAGTTACAAGTTGGGGAACAATGATAACACTACAAATGAAATCAAAAAGAGACAAGTTATCTACATTCTTACACCTTGGTACTTTTACATGTATTGAAGTATGCATGAAAATCGGTCTGTGCCGAGCTCAATCCAAACCAAAAAGTGAAGTTTTTTGTTTTATAATCAATGATTAGTGGATGTACATCTCACAAATCAAGGCTTTTATTTTATTAAAGCCATTGGCAGTTGAAGTTTCTGACTTATATGTAGGACTAGGCTGCAACTCAGCTCTGTTAAACATAAAGATTACGTTACACTGTCAGGCCTGCCCCCCCCCCTCCCACAGCCGGACAAACTGACCCACTTTACAAAAGCTGGCTACAGCACTTTGATGTTTTAAATTCCAATTCAATTGCATGGAATGGAGTTTTTGTCAAGAAATTACTATATACAATTATTGACCTCTCCAGAGGTTTACAGTCGAAATTATATCCCGAGACTGTAAACCGAGACCGTAGGTCGAGGTTTACATTGAGGGATATAATTTTGACAGTAAACCGAATGGAGAGGTCTATAATTGTTTTGTTAGTCCGAAGAATATCTTAGATTTTTCTGACCCTTGAAGTTGACTTGAAGTTGGATCCAGACCCTCGAGACGTTCATGTTGTATTTCAGTATATCGGCAGTAAGTTCACTCAATGGAGTCAAATTACTCTCCTGGGCGAAGTCCACTAAAAGCTTTGTACAAAGTTTTAGATTTTTCTTCGTATTTTGACTGTCTTTACTCTCTAAGAGACTAATAATATCCTCATCTTCAACATTTTTGAAACGGCTAGTGCTAGCGGCGGCCATTTTATCGTCTGATAATGACGTCATTTTAGTGGAATGCTGGGAATATTATTCACCGGCAATGCATTGCGCGGTGTACAGTTAAAATTATTCACCGCTCGTTGACCAATCAAAATCGAGTATTTCAACTAAGGTACTAACAATACAAATTATAGCCATTTCAGTAGTTTGTTTAGTTATGTAAACTGAAGTAGAAAAAGGAAGAAATTTAAGAGGTAATTAAACATAGTTGTGAGGGTTGGGAAATATAGAGAGACCTGGAAAATGTGAGATAGAGATTCTAAGGAAGAAATATGAGATAAGAAGATGACAGTATAAATATTTTTGGTATTGAATCATGGAGGGCAAGGTTGTTTGATACCAACAATTTGCTAAAAGTTTGAAATTCTTGGAAGATTCAGAATGGGGGGGGGGGGGGTGGTTAGAAGAATATATCACTACGATCTTGGGAAGTGGGGATTCAAGGGGAGGAAATAAATGGGCTGGTTGGAATCCAAACCAGAAATTATTTCAGATTCTGCTGGGGGATGCAAGTGGGGACGCAAGTGGGGATGCAAGTGGGGGATAGAAAAATAGCTAACTTACCTAAAGCTACTACTCCTGTGTTTATGACTGATGTTGTCTGTGAGCGGGGATGCTGCAGCACTTTGATCTCCGCTGATTTCTAGAACATATGGAAAAAACAAAGATTAATCTACTGGTCATAAATATGATTATCTCTAGTATTAAACTGTCCACGTATAACCATCAGAAAGACTAACAAACAACAGTCATCTATTTAGCATGTTCCCATAAAGTACATGTATGTATTTTCAAAGAATTTTAGAGAAAAGTTGCCTTTTATGTGAATAATCCAGTAAATTAAACTACTAGTGAATATGGACCTTTGGATTAACATTAACGCCCATAGGCTAATTGGTGATAGAATTTATTTTTAATATCTGGTCCAAAGTAGATAGTTTATGCAATACAGTGTTTTATTAGTTAAAATTTTACTTTTTGAAAGGTTGTTATCTTGATCCTGTTAACTTTAGGTAATTTGAAATTAGTTATCAATTATCATTATATGTTAGATTGTGTAATATGGCATGTGTTTTCATTAAATCTAAGAGAGCCATGATAGTGTGCAGTATGTACCACTGTACTAAATGCTAGCAATTGAGAGGAATACACCTTCAATTTGTTGGCATATGGGAAAGCTAAGGCCAGGGCTGATAAATTAAGTGTTTAGCAGATCCAACCACTACATTTTTGCATTATGTAATATATAACATACTGTACATTTATGCAGAATATGGGAAAAGAAGCCATGATTCTAGCATATTAAATTAACTCATATACACTGTATTCATTTTTTAGTACACTTTAGAAAGCTCAATTTGGACTAAATTCTGAGATAAACATTTATTAATCCAGTAGGTCTGCCCTATGCTACATTTAACATTCAAGCACACATGTAAACAATATTCAACAACATAATCTGCTATAAAGGTCATACTCTGTGCTTGAAGATGAGTAGGAAGGTCTAAAGTTAAAACTCTTAAGAAACACATATGCCCTGAAAATCTGACAGTTTATTCAATGTTTAGAGATTTTAAGTTTTAGAACTGGCATGACTTTTTCACGGGCTTCACAACTGTTCCTTTCCCTCATTAGTGATTCATCATTTCAGGAAAGTTACAAGCAATAATCACTGTGTAACATTTTAAAGATACAGGTAAAAGATACTGTATCATCCCTAAAAAATACATATTACATTGGATAATAAGAAAATTATCACTGTTATGTAAATAAACTTCCCAAAACATATAATCCTGGCCATAACAAAATCCAAATTCTTCAATATTCTATTATCTGTTTATATTTAGCCATACCTAAATAGAATTCCCAGAGTTCAGGGGTATTATGTGAAAAAATAGAGAGGGTTTGTAGTTATGAACAGGTATATTGTGAGCCAATAGCATCATAACTTTACCTGGGGAAACCTGGGCTATAAACATACAGTGTTGCTGCATTCATTTTTAACAAAACAACATAAGATATGAATTTACTAGTTTGGCCATTTAGTTAAAAAGAATAGATACAGTAGTATATCATGTTTTTGCTTTTCTAACAAAATATAGGTGTTGTACTAACCATTGATACTAATTGAAGGATTATTCTCTGCTATTTTTGGAAGAAAGAATCAGAGATCGCTAGCAACTTTTTCAAAAAATGTTTCAACTAAACAATAATTTTAGCTCATATCATTCACTGTCATGTAAATTTTCTAAATATTCAAAAATACATTGAGACAAATTATAACACCTTGCTGAGAAAAAAGCTGAGGGAGGAGGTGGGGTTGTTAAAAATAAAACAGATTAACATTTGATATTTTTTGTATTTTTTCTTGATTGGTGTGTTGATCTGTAAGGCTTTCATCAAATAAAACCATGAAATAACCAGTTAAAAAACTGTAAAAACCCAACACCAAATTATTATATTATCATTGTTTGTTTGTTTGTTTGTTTATTTATTTCATTTTTTTGCTTATTTGTTATTGAGTCATAACATATATTATATTTACCCTTAGAATTTTTACATTGCATTGCCATAATAATTAACCTTGAACTGCTACTAAATGATATAACTTCACTAATTGTATTTTGAACTTCCATGACCTGCTCTAAAGGTGAAATCGATCATAAATGCTTCTGATGTGATTTAATGAGCCATTTATAATCTTTGACACAACAACCTCAAAAATATTTTTGAGAAGATGTGAGATAACAGAACTCAGTGGTTTTCTCTTCCAAAGCACTCTCCATAACGAGAAGGCTCAGTAGCTCAGTAGGTACACTCCTAACAAAATATTGATCAAAACGCAAATATCATTCAATTTTCAGCAAAGCATCATTATGAAATTAATACTTGTAAAGTTTCAACCACCAAAAACTGAAATGCACAAACAAAAAAATTTAATTTTTTTTTCTGAAATTCAAAAAATGTGAGTTTGTTATTTGAAGGATTGTTTACAGAGTAACTCTTACCTGTGCGAAGGTAACTGCACTCCGATTTTGATCGGCCATACTTAGCCATGATATCTACTGTGTAACTATGCTCCTACATGCATGTACTAAATCACAGGTATCGGCCCGCCTGCAAGGCAGTATAGCGCCTCAAACTAATCTTGCATGAACTTTTAACCAGATTTTCACATATCTCAACACCTTTCAAGAAACTCATCAATTTTCTGATATTTCTTTGTAATTTCTGTATAATTTTAAAAGAAATAATATGTATCTAGTCAAAAATCAATAAAACAATGTTCTATTTTCGAGGAAATATTTTCACAAAGCTCAAAGGGAAATACCTAGATAAAAATGGATCCCTTCAAAAGACTAAAAGCATCCCATTCAAAAAGTACCCCAAAGGTCATATTCCTCAAATGCAGTAACAAAATCCCAAAGATATGAAAAATTGAGAAACAAAGCAAAACCCCTAAAAACCATACCATATGAGATGAAGTAAAAGTGAGGAAGATAATGCAACGACATCAGAGACAAAATGTAGGGAGTATGAATGTCAAGGGAGAAAAGTTGAAGGAATCTTATCTTTCTCGAGGATGTAATACCAGTTCTACCATGGATAAGACTTTCTTTATGACTCACTTGAGAAAAACTAATGCCTCAAAGATTTCTGGTGGCCTTGAAATTTCAGCCCCTAATATAGAAGAATGGAGGTCGGATTGGATTGAATGCACATGTGGCAACACTTAAAATCACAAATTTTCCTGACTTTTAATCTCCACTAGTTATCTACATACAATTAACTTTGATTGGATATACTTATTTCCCTATATGTGTAAATATAAAAATATGTATCTTGTACAACTGGTAGATTAACCCCTCACAGTTTAGTTAAGTTTATTTATAGTGGTCAGTCTTACAATTCAATTATAAAATATAAAAAAAATCAATTACAATTTTACCCAGCCCTCATAAAACAAACACTTTATTACATTTTATTATCATTAGTGTTAAAGGAAGTAAGTAGAAGGGATAGAAATGAGTTGAGAGTATTATGAAAAATTTCGACAATATTTTTTGCTTTAATCATTTCATGTCATGTCTGTTTTCTGGAAAAATTCCAAAGGTTCTTGACTTTATTTCAGAAGAACTCTTCAAATTTGAAGGTTATCTTAAAATATTGAAAAGGGGAAGTTCTTTTTCAAATCTAAAAAATTAGACATTTTTAATCCTCAATAACATCTATATATTCATATTTCAATGAATTTAAAAACAATATAAAGATTGCAAGGAAAACACTGACATGTTATTTTGAAAAGATTTTCTTTTTAACTATCTATCCCTATGTTTATCTATGTTTTGGTTATAAGAAAAGATTGCTTTCAACATTTTACACTCTATCCCTTCTATTCCCTTTAATATATTTTGGTTATGAGAAAAGATTGCTTTCAACATTTTACACTCTCTATCCCTTCTATTCCCTTTTATATATTCTGGATATAAGAAAAGATTGCTTTCAACATTTTACACTCTCTATCCCTTCTATTCCCTTTAATATATTCTGGTTATGAGAAAAGATTGCTTCCAACATTTTACACTCTATCCCTTCTATTCCCTTTTATATTATATGTTCTGGTTATAGGACTTCACCAAGAGTAGATAATTTGATATGTTAATTACAGACCATGAATATCAAAAGGGATCGTCTTATGCTATTTGAGACAGCTCTATGCTTTATTGTTGTATCTTAGCTCAAAGGTTTGATTATTTCAAAGGAAAAGGTTTTCATGTTTGATCCAGGGTCAAAATGAACTAAATTTGAGATACGAGTTTCCTGTGTTGAAATCAGTTGATTGATCCTAAAAGATAAACACATTTAAAAAACACGACTCTAATATGAGCACTTCTCTTACTTGAACATTATATTGCAATATGAACACATTTCAAATGTGAAGATAACTCTGTATCTAATGTGAACACTATGGTAATGTTCACATATCTCAAAGGTGAAAAAACAAATCTCAAAGGTGAAAAGATATTATAAATCAATTGCATTGATTTCAATGTTAAATAGCTCTAAAATGTGAACACCTTGAAAGGCAGAGGTGTTTACATTAGGCTACCAGTTAGATTACTTCCAGATTAAATAGCTCAGCTGGTAGAAGAATTGCCACTAACAAGTCACTAAGTGAGGAGAGCTATTGTAAAAAGATTCTGAAGTTAGTATGTTCTTCTAATGAATATCATCCAAATTTTGAGTAGAAAAACACATTTTTATCACAACTGAGACATAAATGCCTGTCTCTCGTATGTTTTTAATTTTTCCAGCTTTATTTAAATTAAATTGATGTTTTCTACATCCGGAAAGAAGCAAACTAAACCCCTACCCAAGAAATAATGCATATTGCGAAATTTGACCAAAAGCTTACTAAACCCAACCTCTGGTTGGGAGCTGACAAACCACATATGAAAGATGACATACTTAAGATTGAATCCACTCTAGTATAGCCCCAGTTGAAGGGTAGCCCTAATTTTAAAGTTTACTACCCCGAACAAATAAAAAACTGACTGTTCTCAATTGAAAACTGAGCTGTTCACTTGAACTTCAAAAACCTTTATATACCAAAATTTCTGATGGTGTTAAAGAATCGTAAAC